AGTTGCACTGGCATCCGACTTTGAAAGCATGGAAATTCAAGTGAAGTTCCGCAATTCCACAGTGACCGAAGTCTTAAAGCCAGTTAAATTAGTGTGCTGCCAAGCAAGGTCTAGCTGATTGTGTATAAATGAATGGTGGTGCCTCCATGACTAATTCTCCTCTCCGAATGTTATAGTTTTATCTCTATCTATCTATCTATTCATTCAGTCGTATCTGATCCTTAGCGATTGCATGGACTGTCACTTGTAAGCGACTTTTTCCATGAATTCTCTTAGGAATTGTTTTTACAGGGTAGGTTGCCAGGTCTTTCTCCAACCCCCACCATGCAGGAAATCCTGTGTGGCCAGGGAGGAAACTAGGACAATTTAGACAGAAGCCAATTAACCTACCAGCATGTCTTTGGGAGGATACCCACACGAACACAGGGAGAACATGCAAACTCCATGCAGGAGGCACCATGGTTGGGAATTGAACCCATGACCCATTTACTGCAAGGCAGAAGTGCTAACCACTAAGCCACTGTGCTGCCCATATAGTTTTAAAAAACTGTTGTTGAAAAGTCATTTTTCTCCCCAAACCTTTACATTTGTTGAACAGGCCATTTTTGAGTTTTCATTGGTATTTTAGTTTATTTTAGGGCAGTTACATTAACTAGCTGTGTGTAAATTGAATACGGCGGAACTACTGATTGTTATGTATTGTTTCCTCACAGATGCTATTGACTGTTTTTATTGCCCAGAGGACCAGTGGCCAAATACTGCTCGGAACCAATGTACACTTCGGATGGTGGAGTTGCTAACCATTTCTGAACCCCTTGGCATCTCTCTAGCTACTACATCCATCCTTGGCTCCATCCTGCCAGCTCTTGTCCTAATACTCTTCATCAAGAACCGAGAAACTCCTCTGATTCGTGCTAATAATTGTGCTCTTAGCTTCATCCTACTGGTTGCTCTCACTCTCTCCTTTCTTTGCCCTCTTCTACTTCTTGCTACACCAGGAGAGCAGACCTGTTTTATTCAACAAGCCGCATTTGGTGTGACCTTCACCCTCTGCATATCCTGCCTCTTGGCCAAGACGGTCATTGTTGTTTTGGCCTTCCGTGCCAATCACCCAGGTAGAGGTCTCAGAGTGCCAAAAGGACTACGGTGGCCTATTCTGTTTGCCTTTTACTGCACAGCCATCCAAATAGTCATTTGTATTTCATGGTGCTTAGTAAACCCTCCATTCCCAGTACATGATACCAGAAGTATATTAGGAAAAATAGTCATTCAATGCAATGACAGTCTTGGTTTTTGGTTCATGCTTGGATACCTTGGACTACTGTCCACTGTCTGTTTTGTGGTGGCATTTTTGGCCAGGAAGTTACCTGGAGCCTTTAATGAGGCTACTCATATAACCTTCAGTATGTTGGTGTTTCTTAGTGTCTGGATATCCTTTGTTCCAGCCTATGTCAGCACACATGGAAAGCTGGCCGTAGCAACAGAGATATTTGCCATTTTATCCTCCAGTGCAGGTCTTTTGTTTTGCATCTTCTCAACCAAAGTCCATATCATTTTGTTGCATCCCCAGCTTAATACCAGGGCGGTCGTTTCTGGTCATCAGAAGAAGAGACAGACTAGCAACAACATTTATGTGGTGCCACCACCTGGCAGAACATATTTTAGAGGACACAAGTGAGGCTTGCAGGGGCAAAAACACAAGAATCTGAAACTGATTTTATTTCAATAAATTGTAAACTTTAGAATGTTACTCATCCCTAACTGTCTGTTGGGCAGCTCCTGAAACCCAAATAAAGTTTCTGCATAAACACTCTAAAGCTAATATCTAAATAAGACATGGTTAAAATTTTCTAGGATGAGAAAAGATCTAGTCCCTCAAAAAATCTGTTCAGGAAAGGGAAATAAATGGCTTGCTGGATGGTGGGAGGGAAAAGCATAACACTGCAATGTCCTAGCCGAAGTCACTTTTTTCATAATGTTAAAAAAGTCCTGGATTATTTTCTAGATACGCAGAATATAACTGGATATAACATTTATAGGTAAATTTGATCCAGGGAATATCTGATTGCCTCTCGGGGGATCAGGAAGGAATTTTTTCCCCTGCAGAAGCAAATTGGATCATGCTTTGCTGGGTTGTTTTGCCTTCCACTGGATCAACCGGGTGTAGGGTTATAACTTTTTTTTCTTTTTTCTTTTTCTCTTTTTTTTAATGGTTGAACTGGATGGACTGTTGTCTTTTTTCAACCATACTAACTATGCTATATACAGTTGCAAACAAAAGTATGTGAACCCCTTGGGATTACGTGGAGTTTTGCATGAATTGGGCATAAAATGTGCTCTGAACGTCATCTAAGTCACAACAATAGAAGAACACAGTCTGCTGAACATAATACTACACACAAACATTAGATGTTGCCATGGTTTAATTGCACATAACATGTAAACATTCACAGTGCAGGGAGGAAAAAGTATGTGAACCTTTGGACTTAATAACTGGTTGACCCTCCTTTGGCAGCAATAACCTCAACCAAACGTTTCCTGTAGTCTCTTAAGGTCATGCCACAGCATTTCAATCGGGTTGAGGTCAGGACTCTGACTGGGCCACTCCAGAAGGCATATTCTGTGCTATTGCAGCCATTGTTTTGTTGAATTACTTGTATGCTTTGGGTCATTGTCCTGTTGCATCACCCATCCTCTGCGGAGCTTCAGTTGGTGGACAGATGGTCGTACGTTTTCCTGCAAAATGTCTTGATAAACTCTGGAATTCATTTTCCCATCAATGACAACAATCCGTCCAGGCCCTGAGGCAGCAAAGCAGCCCCAAGCCATGATGCTCCCTCCGCCATGTTTTTACAGTGGGGATGAGGTTTTGATGTTGGTGTGCTGTGCCTTTTTTTCTCCACACATAGTGTTGTGTGTTCTTCCCAAACAACTCAATCTTGGTTTCATCTATCCACAGTATATTTTGCCACCTGTGCTGTGGAACATCCAGGTGCTCTTTTGCAAACTTCAAACGTGCTGCAATATTCTTTTTGGACAGCAATGGCTTCCTCCGTGGTGTCCTCCCATGTACTCCATTCTTGTTTAATGTTTTCCTTATTGTAGATGTGTCAACAAAAATGTTAGCATGTGCCAGAGATTTCTGTAGGTCTTTAGCTGACACTCTGGGATTCTTCTTTACCTCATGCAGCATTCTGCGCTGTGCTCTTGCAGTCATTTTTACAGGACGACAACGACTAGGGAGAGTAGCAACAGTGCTAAACTTTCTCCATTTGTAGACAGTCTGTCTTACCGTGGACACATGAACATCAAGGCTTTTGGAGATACTTTTGTAACCCTTTCCAGCTTCATGCAAGTCAACAATTCTTGATGGTAGGTCTTCTGAGAGCTCTTTTCTGCGAGGCATGGTTCACATCAGACAGTGCTTCTTGAAACCAGTAAACCCAAAACAGGTGTGTGTTTTTTTTAAGGGCAGGACAGCTGTCAGCAACACATCCAATATCATCACACTGATTGGAGTCAAGGTTGGCTCACTCCTGGCTCCAATTAGCTCTGGGAGAAGTCATTAAGCTAGGGCCTCACATACTTTTTCCTCCCTGCACTGTGAATGTTTACATGTTATGTGCAATTAAACCATGGCAACATCTAATGTTTGTGTAGTATTATGTTCAGCAGACTGTGTTCTTCTATTGTTGTGACTTAGATAACGTTCAGAGCACATTTTATGCCCAATTCATGCAAAACTCCGCGTAATCCCAAGGGGTTCACATACTTTGTCTTGCAACTGTAGTTACATTGTTCTCATTGCTATTAACATAGAGAGGGCAAGTATAAAATGGGGAGATCTCTTATCAAAAATCCCCTTCCAAAAAGGCAGTGAGCGGCTACAATGGTTAATGATTGCTGTAGAGTTAAACCCCATGGCAGTCTTCTTTTTATTTGATGGATTCTATTGGTGATATTCCCTGGGTCTGTACACCTGTTATGCCTATTATGATGACCTCCCACAATGGCCCCTTGGTTTTTTACTTATTTTATGGTGAATGTAACAGGAGGAACACACAAAGGTGCGTGAGAACACCCCAAAGCTCCCAAGTGGACATGAACAGAGACATGAATTATAGCAGTGAGATCTCCCCATTGTTTGTCCAGGAGTCTCCATATAAGAAGCCAGGGGCTTTCCACCAATCTCTCCCTAGGACTAAAATTTCACAAAATTGCACAGTTGCTAGTAACTCTTGCCTTACCATTTGTAAGTTGTAGACCATGGAGGGTAGCCCTTTGATCTGTGTTGTGTTACCCATCATTACATAATATCAGTGTTCTTGCCTTCTTCTGGGATCTTGGACAGCTGTGAAACAGCTGATTAATTGTCGAATTTTACACAAGCCTTCTCTGTTGGTTTTTCCATTCCCCTCCCCAGTTCAATCAGAAAAATACAGTGCTTCTCAGTACATTCTGAAGAAGCTGTATTCCCTTTCTCTCCAGGTCCGTCTGTGGTGCATTTTCCTGATGTTTTATAATAAATGAGGACGGATCTGAATTATGGATGTTTTTGATTTACATTAAATTTTAGCAAATATTAAAATGCTACCAAATACTTTTGAAGGGTAAGTCCAGTTGGCTGTGAAAATAATCTTTAGTACTTGCCTTGCATTGAAGCTATTTGTTGTGTTTTATGCACTATGCTTCACAGCTTCCTGACTGTCCCTTATTTGGAACCAGATTCTTCTTTCGCTCTTTTCTCCTTGGTTGTCCCTTTTTTTGGTCTAACGTTTACACCTCCATAACAAAAATGTTATACTATACTAAACCTTTCAGCGTTTCGCAACCTTTCTAACATGGAGAAACCTTTGAAATATCTTTCAGTTCTTCAGGAACTCCTGCTAAGGATTAATATATTGTAAGATGCAACATAGTAATAAAAAAAATATGTAATTCAAGTAATATGGAAGCAGGTATTGTGCCCCCTCACACCAATGGTCAGTGTAGTGCTGCTTTTACATTAGTGGTCAGTGAGATGCTACCTTACATTGGTCAAGGGTCCCCTTAAGTGGTCAATGGGAGAACGGCCCCTTATAGTGGTGGTTAGTTGAAGAAATGCCCCATTGCACTGGTGGTCAATGGGAAAAATGTTCTTCACATTGGTGGCTAGTGGGGAGAATGCTCCTTACATTGGTGGTCAGTGGGAAGAATGCTCCTCACTTTGGTGGCCAGTGGGGAGAAATGCCCCTTACATTAGTGCTCAGTGGGGAGAATGCTCCTTACATTAGTGCTCAGTGGGGAGAATGCTCCTTACAGTGGTGGTCAGTGGGGAGAATGCTCCTCACTTTGGTGGTCAGTAGGGAGAATGCTCCTTACAGTGGTGGTCAGTGGGAAGAATGCTCCTTACTTGGTTTGTCAATGGGAAGAATGCTCCCTACTTTGTTGTTCAATGGGAAGAATGTTCCTTAAATTAATGTTAAGTGGAAAGAGTTTTCATTACATTAGTGGCCAGTGGGAAGAATGATCCTTACATTAGTGGTCAGTGAAATGCTACCTTACACTGGTGGTCAGGGGTCCCCTTAAGTGGTCACTGGGAGAAGGACCCCTTTGCACTGGGGGTCAATAGGAAAAATCTATTTATTTCAGGTACTTATATAGCGCCATCAATTTAAAACAACGCTTTCTACATGCATATTTTACAATCATATCAGTCCCTACCCTCAAGGAGCTACATTCTAAGATACCTAACTCATACATACACATACTGGGGCCAATTTAGACAGGAGCCAAATAACCTGTCTTTGGAGTGTGGGAGGAAACCCACACAGGGACTGGGAGAACATGCGAAGAGGGAGAGGCAGATGCTCACAGGCAGCTAAGAGAGGGTAAGCAGCCTTTGTTTCCACAGTGAAAAGTGGTGGTCATGGACATGGTGTGTCCTCTGCAGGCAGGGCACACTCATCCTTTTTTTTTTCCAACAAGCAGAAGAGGTGGTGGAGTGGATAACTCAGCCATCCTCATTCTCGTCATTCTCTGTCACTCCGGGTCATACTATTTTGCCTTCCACCACAGCTGCCAAAGCAGCCTATTCCACTGGCTCCTTGTCCACCATAGCTGCTCCTTGTAGCCCCACCATCATACACGGAGGAGTCACCAAAATTATTTGATCATAGTGTCAGGTGTATGCTGCTGGAGGATGCGCAGTAATTTTAAATGCTCCGATGTTGGTTCCCAGGTTGAGGAAAGGAGCGACGTGAGCCTAAAGAGAGGGGGTGCCAGTGATGGAAAATATGTATATTCCCCCAACCACAGCACACTGCCAAGTGACAAGAAGGAAGGGGAGGATGAGTTCACTGACTGTACTTGGGTGCCTGAGAGAACAGAGGAGGAAAGTGAGGAGGAGGCAGAACTCCAACGAGGCAGGATGTCCTCCAGGGGCAGGCATAAGGGCAGCCAACTGATGGCATCACACAACAGAGCTCCAAAGGTGCAAGGTGCTGCTGATTTCCGGCAGACTTCCAAAAGTTCTCTGGTGTGGGCTTTTTTCAACACGTGCAGCAGACCTCAGCATTGCTGTTTGCAGTTTCTGTCTGAAGCAGATCAAGCATGGCCAAAACACCAACCGCTTGGGCGCCACATGCTTGACAAGACATATGAGGAGCTGCCATACAGCCCATTGGCAACAACACTTGAAAGACCCACATCCGAAAAAAGTGCAGACTTCTTTTTGTTCCTCATCTGGGATCTCTACCTCTACTGTAAAACATCAGGTCTTCTCAACCGCCTTCACTGAGAGGAGTGATGGTACATCAGTGGGTCCTGGCACCCCATCTGATAGCAGTACACCACCTGTTGATTTCGGCAGGCACATTTCGCTACCCCAGTTGCTGAACCATAAATATACTGTCCCACTCATCCTCATGCTCAGCGTCTAAATGCTAGCCTGGCCAAATTTCGAGCGTCACAACTGCTGACTTTCCATCTGGTGGACTCTGCCCCCTTCCGTGAATTTGCACAATGTGCTGTACCACAGTGGAAGGTTCCGAAAGACAATTCTTTTCACATAAGGCTATTCCAGCTCTGTACCATCATGTGGAGGGCAATGTTTTGGCCTCATTGGACAGGGCGGTCAGCAACAAGGTCCACATTACTGTTGACACGTGGTCCAGCAAGCATGGTCAGGGACGTTATATATCCTTCGCGGCGCAATGGGTTGCTCTGCTAGTAGCTGGGAAGGATGCAGGATAGGGTTCAGTGCTGAAGCTTGTTCCGCCACCACGCCTCTAAAAAGCTAGTGGTGATTCTGCCACATCTGTCTGCTCCACCCAGGGGTGGACTGACCAATTGGGCACTTGGGCACTGCCCGAGGGCCCGGGGTCAGTAGGGGGCCCCAAGAAATGCCCTTGGTATCTTTTATAGGCTTTTTTGGGTGTGCTTTGAGTGTGGGCAAGGTCATAGGGGCCTCCTGATCCCCTATTGCCCGGGGGCCCCATGAGTTGTCAGTCCATCCCTGGCTCCACCCCCTCCTCTTCCTCTGCCACTATGGCCTCTTCTGCTGAATTGTCTGAACCAGCAGTGCTCCGTAAGTGTTCAAGGGGCTACACAAGCAGTCAGGCCAAAAGATGCCACACGGTGCTTCATCTGGTCTGTCTAGGGTACAGGAGTCACATCGGGCCAGAGATTCTGTCAGCTTTGCAGAGGCAGGCTCAGAGGTAGTTGACGCCATGGCAGCTTGAGCCAGGAATGGTTGTATGTGACAATAGCACCAACCTTCTCTCTGCCCTCTGACAGGGACACTTGACACATGTTCCATGCTTGGCACATGTCCTGAATTTGGTGGTGCAGCGTTTCTTGAGCGGGTACCCAGGCTTTCTGCTCTTCTGAGGCAGGCCAGAAAAGTCAGTGGCCATTTCCGGCGGTCATACAGTGTTCGGCTGGCTGAAATTCAAGGAGAATTCAACCTGCCCACCAACCGACTCATTTGTGACATGCCCACTCAGTGGAACTCCACTTTGGCAATGCTGCAGCGGCTGAACATGCAGCAGAGGGCCATCAATGAGTACCTGTGTGAGTATGGCACAAGGAGAGGCTCAGGGGAGCTTGGCTTCTTTTTGTCATGCCAGTGGCTGCTGGTAAAGGATGCATGCACTGTCCTGTCACCAATTGAGGATGCCACAAGGATGGTGAGCCACGACAATACATGCATCAGTGACACTATCTCTCTAGTCTTCCTGCTGGAGCACACACTGCGTGGAATCATGGGAAGGGCAGCACAGCGTGGTGAAAAAGAGGATTTAATGTCATCTCAAGGCCCCTTTATGCAGAAACCATTCCTGTGGGGCTGCAGAACATAGAGCAGGAGGTGGAGGATTGCAGCAGCATGGAAGTAGAGGATCACATACAGCAGTCTTCAAGGGGAGGTTTTCAGTCTCCAGAAACCCAGCCAAGAGTAGTACGTGGCTGAGAGGAGGTAGTTCCAGACAATGTCATCCTCAGTGACCCAGAGGACTCAGAATCTCCTGCCTCCTCAAACTTACACTGCATGGGCTCCCTGATTCTGCAATCTGCGTAAGGACCAGAGGATTTGTTTTATCAAGGTGAGGGATCAATACTGGTTGGCAATCCTTCTTGATCCAGGTTACAAGGGTAAAGTTGCAGAGCTCATCCAGTCTTTGCAGAGGGAGCAGAGGATGAAACAGCTTGAGGACACCTTGAAGAGAAATTTGTGTAACACTTTTCCAGACAATGAGAAGTTACCATTTCCTGGACAATGTGTTTCTGAGGCTTCGTTGTCAAAGGAAGACCGGTGGAGAAGGCAGCCGGCTGACCAATGTCTTTAAACAGTTCTTTAGTCCTCAGCGCCCAGAGCTGTTAGGTTTAAGCACCCATCTGCAGCATCTGCATCATATGGTGCAGGATTATCTAGGGCATGAGAAGACTTGGAGACCTTTCCAACTGAGCATCCACTGGGTTTACTGGGTCTTGAGGATGGATTACTGGCCAGAACTTCCTCAATATGCCATCAAGCTACTGGCTTGTCCTGCATCCAGCGTGCTTTCCAAATGGACATTCAGTGCTGCTGGAGGTTTTGTGACGGATAAAAGAGTGTGCCTGTCCACAGACTCCATTGACCAGCTGACATTTATCAAAATGAATCAGTCCTGGATCAACAGCAACTATCTTGCCCCTGATGCTGATGTAACTGATTACATTTTGTTAGGGATCTGGGATCCCTTGAAGACTGCCTATGCTGCCTATCCTATTCCTGAATCCTGATTTTGCTAGCTTCCAACAATTTTGTTGGTTTAGGGCACCACTAACACGCAAGGCCCAATTTTTCGGCACCTGCATGTAATTTAATTTTTTTTTTACCATTTTTCTGTAATAGTTAACAATTTTTAACTGCAGGGCCCATTCCTGCGCCCCCAAAATAGTAAAATAGTATCTGTGAAGAGTTACAGTATTTAGGCACCACCAACACCCAAGGCCCAATTTTTCTGAACCTGTATGAAAGGTGCGTATATTTTGACTTTTTAGAGAAGGGTCTAATCACTCACTCGTCAAGAATAACTCTGCAGGGTTATGGTGTGAGTCCTGCTGCAGCAGGTTCTATACATTGTACAGATGTGCAACTAGAGGAATTTTTTTAATTTTTTTTTTACTTTCAGCAATGAAAAATGACTGCCGCTTTAAAAACAGTACTTTTTGAAAAAAACATTTTCACTGATTCATGTTCCTCAGGGCAGTACCTGAGTCCCCATACCACATTTCTGGCCAATACCTTGCATATAAGCCTTCAAAATGGGCACTTTTGAATTTCAAGTTCAAGTCCATAGACTTTCATTTTGTGCCCGTATAGGCCTTACCAGCCACCTATGGACACACCGTGGACAGCCCACTACCTATTAGATGTCAAGGTGCTCTTCGAACACGATGGACGAACATCATCATCATCATCGGTGGTCAGTGGTAAGAATGCTCCTTACGGCAGTGGGAAGCTTATATATGCTTACAAAGATTACTGGTTTCATAGGTTTTCTAAAAGTCAGACAATTCTGAATGCTCCACCTTTGGAGGAACCCTGGTGGAGAAAGGCTGCCCTAAGGGCTCATTCACACAAGCGGGTATGTGTTGAGTTGCATATGGCTCACAGCTACCGGTGTGCATTATCCCCTGAGAATTTTGATGTATTACTACAATGCATCACACGTTTAATAAAAAAGCATGTATAAAGAAAAAGTCATGGTGTAAAAAGTATCTTGGGGTTTAACCAATAATTTTCTGCTTATTAATTCTTCAGTGTCCCCTTTTAGGGGTTCTGGACTGTAGCCAGTGGGAGTAGAAAATGCCCCAGCATCAGTGCCCCATCATTGTTTTTAATTGGAGGAATAATGCCCCATTGTTGATATCAGTGGGAGGAATAGTGCCCCATCATTGGTGTCAGTGGGAGGAATAGTGCCCCATCATTGGTGTCAGTGGGAGGAATAGTGCCCCATCATTGGTGTCATTGGGAGGAATAGTGCCTCATCATTGGTATCGGTTGGA